AGTAGTACTCCATTGTGTAAATGTACCACATTTTCTCCATCCATTCTTCAGTTGAGGGCCATCTAGGTTGCTTCCAGGTTCTGGCTATTACAAATAATGCTCATGCTGAATCTTTTTTTTTTTTTTTTTTTTGGTTTTTCAAGACAGGGTTTCTCTGAGGCTTTTGGAGGCTGTCCTGGAACTGGCTCTTGTAGACCAGGCTGGTCTCGAACTTACAAAGTTCCGCCTGCCTCTGCCTCCTGAGTGCTGGGATTAAAGGCGTGGGCCACCTTCACCCGGCTGCTCATGCTGAATCTTAGAGTAAAAACAGATGTCATTAATGAGTAAAAACAAGAGAGGTCTGTTCAGTCAGAAGAAAATATGTTCATGACAAGTAGTCAATGTGGGCAAAATATTTTGGAACCATCTATGAGTACTTTAAGAATAAAGGAGTGAAAAAAAGAATAGAGGAGTGGAGTAGGAAAAGCCAGGAGCTGGAGGGTATGGAAGGAAAAAAGGCACACATGTTAAGGTTCTTCTGACAAAATAATAAACTTCTGATTTATTCCATCAACTCTAAAAGGATATTTGTAGTCTCAAAAGACCATTTTGGTCAAAACTACCAGAGTGATAGGACTACATAACATAGGAGATAGAAAATAACCAGGACTTAAGCCTTCTTTGGACTGCTTAACCTTAATCTTCTGTATCGTAGGAGGAACTCAGAATTTTTTGTCTCTAGTTATCTTAGTCACCGTTCTGTTATTGTAAAGAGACACCATGACCAAGACAACTCTTATGAAAGAAAGCATTCAATTGCTTTCGGTTTCAGAGGTTTAGTCTATTATCATCATGGCAGGGAGCATGGTGGCTGGCAGGCACTGGAGCAGTAGCTGAGAGCTACATCCCGATCCACGGGGATGGGGGGGGGGATTGAGCGTGTGTGTGTGTGTGTGTGTGTGTGTGTGTGTGTGTGTGTGTGTGCGCGTGCGTGCGAGAGAGAGAGAGAGAGAGAGAGAGAGAGAGAGAGAGAGAGAGAGAGAGAGAGAGAATATGAGCGCATGCTCTATCCCCATTCGGTTTTGAAATCTCAGAGCCCACCCTAGTGACATACTTCCCCAGAAAGACCACACTTCCTAGTTCTATCCTTTCAAATAGTACCATTCCCTAGTGACTAAATATTCAAATATGTGAACCTATGGAGGCCATTATTATTCAGACCACCACACCATTTTAGCCTTTTTATTTATTTACTTCTATCTTTAAAATGGTGAATTTAGGGGGCTGGAGAGATGGCTCAGAGGTTAAGAGCACTGACTGCTCTTCCAGAGGTCCTGAGTTCAATTCCCAACAACCACATGGTGGCTCACAACCATCCGTAATAAGATCTCATGCCCTCTTCTGGCCTGGAGGCACACATGCAGACAGAATACTGTATACATAATAAATAAATAAATCTTTTAAAAAATGATGAATTTAGAAAATTCATTTTATTGTATCAGTTATTGACATTTATATTTTATTCTCAGCAGAAACAAAATTTTTGACTTAACTATGATCTGATAATACAGATCCATAGTGTCTCTCATACAATTAATTTCTCCAAAGATTAAAATCTTAAGAATTAAAAATCTCTGAAGATTACACTTTTAGCTGAAAAACTGAACCAGAACTAATTGGTGGACAATACCAGAACTTCACTAATATGAGGCTGTTTATAGTTTTTACCAATTTTCTGTAACTACTCATATTTTTTAGGGAAATACTAACATATTATATGGTATTATCCTTGGTACCACTGGGCTTATAATGTACCATATATTTAACTTTCCTAAGATCCAAACACTTCTGAACTTCATGATATTTCTCGTCAAAGAAGGTTCAAATAATTATTGAATCTATAGTAAACTTGAAAGAAATAAGACAAAGGTCACCTGTATATATTTTCTATTTTTGTTTGTCTTTTACAATTAGGGCAAAATATTAAAGAAATATTTTCAGTTTCTTTTAACTAACAAAATTAGCTGTAACATAATAACCACCCCCCAAGAATATGGCATTTGTTTTAGAAACACACCACATCACTATAAATGATAATCCTCTCACACGTTGGCAATAACAACTGACTGGGCCTTGTAGACTATAAACTGATATGTATGGGTGGTAGGAATTTATTACCAAATGAAATTTCAGAAAAAGAGCATCTTCCAATCTGGGCATGGCAGTACACTTGAAGCAGGATATTTGTGGGTTTGATAGGCTACATAGCAAGTTCCAGGCCAATCGTGTGTGTGTGTGTGTGTGTGTGTGTGTGTGTGTGTGTGTGTGTGTGTGTACATATATACATATGTATATATAATATCTCAAGAAAAACAGGAAGCATATGGGTAAAATACTGAGATTCTTATAGAGTGGGTATACTTGGATCATAAATAACTACTTAGGTTAGAGCTCCCTCTGTTGGCTATAGAGTCACTTAATAATGTAGACTATTGGTTCACTCTCTAAAAGAATAGTGGTATATTGGCATCTGGATTTATTAAACACAGTTTAGCTTTTTTTGCTCCACCACATCGTGTTCAGTGTTTGTTCTTCAGTGACAACAATACATTACTTTAGAAGTTTGTATCAATAGACTTCAGATTTTAACATCATACAACTTAATTTTTTTCCTTAAAATTATGTGAAAGTTAATTAAAACCATTCCAAGTCCTTCTTAGTATAAATATTGAATACTTAGATTGATAATGGATTAAATTTAACAAATAGCACATAACTGTAGTTTTAATAGTTGACACTGAGTCTGACATCCTGAAATTATCCTTAAAACATATTAGCAAACATGCTATTTTCTCAACAGAATTTGCAACCATCATCATTTGTGATACATGAAAAGTTGAGAATCATTATGATATATATTATGGTTTTATGACTATTATATCTATAAAAGAGCTTACTCTGTAAATTATTTTGTGCTCCATAGAATGACCACGGGCATTCTTAGAACCAACAACTGGCCTCAAACAGGCTCCAATTTGGGGGGGGATGTTTTTTTCATTTCCTGGCAATATTCTAGGCCTCAGAAAAAAGGGGTTTCAAAGATAGGAACCGTATAAATGATGCCCTGCTATCATGAGAGCAGCCTAATTCAAATCTAGCCTCATTGGAAGTTCAGCTTGGGTTCTTGAGACACATTATTAATAATTTGTTCTCACAACCCACCTACTCAAACTAAGCAGGGGAAAGGGGCATTTGATATAAATCAATGATGAAAACTATGCCTAGTGACCTTCCATTCTCACTGAGGTTATGAAGCACAAGAACAAAACTAGGAGAGTTAAAAAAAAAAAACAGGAGAGTAGAATACAGATGCTGTGTGGTTAATGAGTGAAATCACATGAAGTAGAGCACAAGACTCAGGCAGTAGGGCAGATACAAGACACATGGACATGAGAATTAGAGTGAACAGTTATAGAGAAAACTGAGAGGCCTGCCTATACAAATTATTTTCCATGAGTTTAACTGAAATGTGAGGTGAGAAGGTGTGAGGAGGTACAAACTTCAGATCAGAGGCCACCAAACCCTTTGTTTGTTTGTTTGTTTGTTTTAAACCTTTTCTTTAAAGGTCCAGAAACACTTTAGACTTTTCCAGCTGCATATGGTCTGTATTGTGTGTTTTTTCCTTTTTCTCTTACAACTCTTTAAAATGTGAAAAACATTCACAATGTGTTAGCCTTATAAAACAGGTCTTAAATAGTAGCCAACACCTAGTTTAGGTGATGGTGGGCAAATGAGATAAGAACAGGAGAAATCCTTGGAAGATTTACTGTTGTGCTTGATTTTACTGAGAAGAATTTGATAATGCAATAGAGTAGGGGTTAAAGGTGTGAGGAATGAATAAACAAATTTAGAAATAAATTTAAGAAGAGTGTGACAAGTTGGATAGAGCAGTAGTGTTGAGGATGGGGATTGAAAGGAAGTTCAACCTCAGTGTAAGAAGCAAGTACCAGAGACCAGTGGATGAAGGTAATTAGGTAATAAAAGTCCAGGAATTGGTCTGAAAGATGGAAAAGGAAGCATGGTATGAAGTGGAAAAGAGATGAATAATCTCACCTACGGATGAATCTCTTGGATCCACAAATTTTGGAACTGTTAGGGTAAATCAGTTGATGGTATAGGGTTTAATTATGAATGGAAGGAACCTAGAGGCACCCAGTTTTCTTCTGAAATAGATTAAAGTAATAAAGAGGGAAAATGAACAAAATTGAAGATGGGGGGTCTAGAATAATTTCTAAATAATCTTCCATCTCTCTGAGTTGTTTATTTTCCAGTATCATTCCATAAAGAATTAAAAAGGCTCCTAGAACTCAATTCACAAGTCTTTGGGTCCAACCCAAGCAAATAATTTCTACAATTTGCTGAATATTTTTATGCACCAGGTACTATTAGACTCTTTATAAACATTAGCTTACTTGTGCTTCAACACCTTTTTTCTTGATCGCAATAGTACATGACATGTTACTGCTTTGCTGACCTGTTATAATATATAAACATTGAAGACAATTTGAAAAACAGGAAAAAGAGTCTATTTTCAATAAAAAAAATTAAATTTAAAGAGACTGGGCAGTGGTGGCACACACCTTTAATCACAGCACTTGGGAGGCAGAGACAGGCAGATCTCTGTGAGTTTGAGGCCACACTGGGCTAACAACGAGTTCCAGGACAACCTCCAAAGCCACAGAGAAACCCTGTCTTGAAAAACCAAAAAATAATTGCTAAATCCAGGATAAGAACATGTTCAGCTATATATATATCTTTCTCCCCAAAACAGAGAGTATTCTCTTAACTGTGTCAAAACAGGTATTAGTGCTAATACAAAGACACTGACCATTCTTGCATCTCTTCCTCGTGTCTACAGGCATGCTATGGCATTCTTAAGATTCCAGAAGGCAGCTGGTTGTGTCGCTCCTGTGTCCTGGGCATTTATCCACAGTGTATTTTATGTCCCAAGAAAGGTGGAGCCATGAAGACCACCAGGACAGGAACTAGATGGGCTCATGTCAGCTGTGCCTTATGGATTCCAGAGGTAAGAAACTATTCAAATCTGGGCCCATTTACTCCAGGGTGCCCTCCTTCCCATGATGTTTAGACAGACTCAGACTTGACATGGAAATACTTCCTGCTCACTGTATTTCTGAAATTTCTGTGCTTCCTCAGGTCTCCTTGGACACAAATGTGCACATTAGCCCATATTTATGTATTTGTGGATGCTGCTTTCACTGGTATTTGATAAACTTGTATGAGAAGAGTAGCATAAAAGACCAGTGTGGGGGATGCAGATGGCATAGCTGTTAGGAGCACATACTGCTCCTGTAGAGGATTTGAGTTCAGTTCCAGTAGTATGTCAGGCAGCTCACAACTGACTGCCTTTAATTCTGACTCCCAGAGAAAGAGTCACCTATACACATATACACATACGCACACACATATATGCACAATTTTTAAAACAAATATTTTAAAATAAATAAAACTACTTTTTAAAAAAAACAAATGTTTGAAAATCATTTATTTTTTCCTGCATTTTTATTTGAATTAGAAACAAGATTGTTTTACATGTCAATCCCAGTTCCCTCTCCATCCCCTCCTCCCCTGCATCTCCCCAACTAACACCCTACCTATCCCCTACCCTTTCTGCTCCCCAGGGAGGGTGAAACCTTCCATAGTGGGACTTCAGAGTCTGTCATATCCTTTGTGATAGGGCCTAGGCCCATCCCCATGTGTCTAGGCTCAAGGAGTATCTCTCTATGTGGGATGGGCTCCCAAAGTCCATTCCTATGCTAGGAATAAGTACTGATCCACTACAAGGGGCCACGTAGATTTCCGAGGTCTCCTCACTGACACCCACGTTCATGGGGTCTAGATCAGTCCCATGCTGATTTCCCAACTATCAGTCTGGGGACCAAGAGCTCTTCCTTGTTCAGGTCAGCTGTTTCTGTGGGTTTCACCAGCCTGGTCTGTACCCCTTTGCTCATCACTCCTCCTCCTCTGCAACTGGATTCCAGTTCACTTCAGGTATTTCACTTTTTGGTTAGCGTTACCCCCAAGGTATTTTATGTTGTTTGTGGCAATTGTAAAGGGTGATGTTCCTCAGATTTCTTTCTCTGAGTATTTATCATCTGTATATAGTAGGGCTACTGATTTTTTTGAGTTAATCTTGTATCCTGCCACTTTGCTGAAGGTGTTTATCAGCTGTAGGAGTTCCCTGGTAGAGTTTTTCAGGTCACTTATGTAGACTATCATATCATCTGCAAATAGTGAAAGTTCGACTTCTTCTTTCCAATTTGTATCCTCTTGATCTCCTCCTGTTGTCTTACTGCTCTAGCTAGAACTTCAAGTACAATATTGAAGAGGTATGGAGAGAGTGGACAGCCTTGTCTTGTTCCTGATTTTAGGGGAAACACACTGAGTTTCTCTCTATTTATTTTGATGTTGGTTGTTGCCTTCCTATTTATTGCTTTCATTATGTTTAGGTATGTTCCTCTTATCCCTGATCTCTCCAAGACCTTCATCATGAATTGGTGTTGGATTTTGTCGAACAGTTATTCAGCATCTAGTGAGATGATCATGTGGGTTTTTCTTTCTCAGTCTGTTTATATGGTGGATTACATTGATAGATTTTCATATGTTGAACCATCCCTGCATCCCTGGGATGAATCCTACTTGATCATGGTGGATGATTTCTCTGATCTGATGTTTTCTTGGAATCAATTTGCCAGTATTTTATTAAGCATTTTTGCATCAATGTTCATGAGGGATATTGGTCTGTAGTTCTCTTTCTTAGTTGTGTCTTTGTGTGGCTTGGGTACCAAAATTATTGAAACCTCATAAAAAAAAAAGAGTTTGGCAATGACCCTTCTTCTTCTATTGTGTGGAATACTTTGAGGAGAATTGGTTGTTCATTTACATGTTCACTCTGCCCTTTGATAACTTTGGATAAAGGTTTGTCTATCTTGATTTTCTTGAAGAATCAACTCTTCATTATATTGATTCTTTGTATTGTTTTCCTAGTTTCTACTTTATTGATTTCAGCCCTCAATTTGATTATTTCCTGGTGTCTACTCCTCCGGGGTGCGTTGTCTTCTTTGTGTTCTAGAGCTTTCAGTTGTGCTGTTAATTCTCTAGTGTGACTATTCTTGAGTTTCTTCATGTGGGCACCTAGTGCTATGAACTTTCCTCTTAGCACTGCTTTCAAAGTGTCCCATAAGTTTGGGTATGTTGTGACTTCATTCTGGTTGAATTCTAGGAAGGCTTTAATTTCTTTTTTTTATTTCTTCCTTGACCCAGGGATGGTGCAATTGGGTATTACTCAGTTTCCTTGAGTTTGTAGGTTTTCTGCAATTTGTGTTGTTGTTGAATTCTAACTTTAAAGTATGATTGTCTGATAAGATACAGGGGGTTATTTTCAATGTTTTGTACCTGTTGAGGTTTGTTATGTTGCCCAGTATGTGATTGATTTTACAGAAGGTTCCGTGTGGCGCTGAGAAGAAGGTATATTCTTTTGTGGTTAGATGGAATGTTCTGTTAAACCCGATTGAGCCATAACTTCTGTTAGTTCCTTTGTTTCTTTGTTAAGTTTCTGTCTGGTGTTCCTGTCTAGTGGTGAGAGTGGGGTGTTGAAGTCTCCCACTATAAGTGTGTGAGGTTTTATGTGTGATTTGAGTTTTAGTAATGTTTCTTTTATGAAAGTGGATGCCTTTGTATTTGGGGCATAGATGTTCAGAATTGAGACTTCATCTTGATGGATTTCTTCTGTGATGATAGGAAGTGACCTCCTTCATCTCTTTTGATTAATTTTAGTTTAAAGTCTAATTTGTTAGATATTAGGATTGCTACCTCCACTTGTTTCTTGGGTCCATTTGATTGGAAAAATCTTTTCCCAACCCTTGACTCTGAGGTACCGTCTGTCTTTGAAGTTGAGGTGTGTTTCTTGTATGCAGCAGAAGGATGGATTCTGTCTTTATATCCATTCTGTTAGCCTGTGTGTTTTTATAGGCCTGTTTAGACCAGTAATATTGAGGGATATTAATGACCATTGATTGTTGATTCTTGTTTGTTTTGAATTTGGTGGTGGTGGTGGAATTGTGTGGATTTCCACCTCATTTTTCTTTTGGTTGTTGGTAAAGTGGGATTATCTATTGCCTATATTTTTCTGGTTGTAATTAACTTCCTTGGGTTGGAGTTTTCCTTCCAGAACTTTCTGTAGAGCTGGATTGGTGGATATGTATTGTTTAAATCTGGTTTTGTCATGGAATATCTTGTTTTCTCCATCTATATTGATTGAAAGCTTTTCTGGGTATAGTAGTCTGTGCTGGCATCCGTGGTCTCTTAGTGTAGGTAGAATATCTATCCAGGACCTTCTGGCTGTCAGATTTTCCATGGAAAAGTCAGCCTACATAGCTATACCTTGTCTCAAACAGACAAAAAAAACCAAAAGCTAGGCAATGTAGGTCAGAGGTAGAGCACTTGCTTAGCATTTGCAAAGACCTGGGCTTGATCCCTAATACCACATAGATAAAAATAAAACAAATCACCTAGAATTCCCAACACTCAGAAGACTGGAATAAGATCATGAGTTAAGGGCCACCCTGAGATACATAGATGCTATCTCAGAAATTAAAAATAAACTTTCACAGCTATTAACCTTCTCTGGGGGCTTCTAATTCTTTATTTCTGGTACATTTTGGACTATTAAAAATCTCTCTTTTCTCATCTAGATAGAACTTGTACTAGATGAATCACCTTAGTTTGATAGTTATTCACTTTTTAAAAGCTGTTTCTTTCTGGTGCTAAAGAGATGGTACAGGGGTTAAGACCACTGGCTGCTCTTCAGAAGACTTAGGTTCAAATCCCAGCACCTATATGGTGGTTCACAACCATTTGTAATTCCAATCCCAGAGAATCCAATACCTTCTTCTGGCCTTTGTGGGTACTGCATGCATGTGTTGCACAGACATACACATAGACAAAACACTTGTGCATGCAAAATAAAATGAAAAATAATAATTAAAAGCTTGTTTCTTTAATGAGGCATGTATAACTTTGTAAAAGAGATAAAGGAGGGGCTGGAGAGATGGCTTAGCCATTAAAGGCTAGGGTCACAACCAAAACTACAAGAGATAAAGGAGAACACATTTTTTACCAGTAGTCACATGACCCTTTCTTTCCATATGGAAATTATTTTTTCATATTTTTAAAGTATCCCTTTCCTTTCAGCATCCCCAAAGACTCAATTTCACTTTGAAGCTACTTTGGCTGAGAGAGTAGGGTAAGCTGATAATAGTTACATAGTTTTAAAGACTGGAGTTTAAAAATGGTATCATCCTCATCCTTTCTAATTACGTGCTGCAGTCTCTTTATTACATAGATATCCTGCTACTTTCCAACAATATTATCCTGCTTTGTGAACCAAATATAAAGATCTGTCACCATCTGTCAGATTTAGTTGATTAAATGAAATAGCAAGTCATGTGATAACATCTCTTCTAACAAAAGGCAGGTACTAGAATTTCTGAACTTTATTTACTTTCCTTAGTAGCTTTCTTTAGTTCATAAGTAAAATGGATATATCTTGATTCTTTAAGGTAACCATGCCTACCTAGTCTGCACTCCTGCACTATCATCACATATATGAATTGTTTACATTACTAGAAATGACTAGAGGACTGAGCAATGGAAAGAGATGTGTTTTGTTATTAGTTTCATACTAATTTTGGAAGTACGGTGTACTTCATTGTTTTAATGTTCTCAGCCTCATATAACATCATTTATACTTTGTGAAAAGTGCTTCTAAGATGTCCTGGTGCTTCTGCCTTATGATGATATTTTATTTGTAGGTCAGCATTGCTTGTCCTGAGAGAATGGAACCTATTACAAAAATCTCCCATATTCCACCTAGCCGGTGGGCCTTAGTTTGCAGCCTGTGCAAGCTGAAGACAGGGGCTTGTATTCAGGTAAGTGCCCTGAGAAGTACTGTAATGATCTAAAAACCAAGTTGACCTGAATCATGGTCCCAGTAAGAGTGCCCCATTAACCCAGAAGTCACTTAAGAGTCTCCCCTCTCACTAGGTGGTGGTGGTGCACACCTTTAATCCCAGCACTCGGGAGGCAGAGGCAGGTGGATCTCTGTAAGTTCAAGACCAGTCTGGTCTACAAGAGCTAGTTCCAGGACAACCTCCAAAGTCACAGAGAAACTTTGTCTTGAAAAACCAAAAAAAAAGTTTCCCCTCTCATATGCAGGGTGCTGCCATTCCACAGACCATTTGTAGAAATTTTGTTGCTTCTGGGCTGTTCAGCCTGTTTTTTTTTAATGATTTATTTTTATTTATGTGTGTACTTTGGGGTGCCACGTGTGTGAGGGTGCCCCCAGAGACCAGAAGAGGGTGTTGGATCTCCTGGAGCTGGATTTACTGGTTGTTGTGAGCCACCCAGCATGGGTGCTGGGCATTAAACTTAGATCCTCTGAAAGAGCAATAAATGTTCTTACTAAGCCATCTCTCTTACCTTTGACCTATTCTTTTCAACATTCATATTGTTTGTCATGCATAATAATACACACTTTAGGCCCAGCTATTCAGGTAATTGAGGCAGAAGAATCATTTCAGCTCAGGAGTTCAAGTCCAGCCTGAACAATATAGTGAGACTCTTTCTCAAAATAATACTCATAATGGTATTTAACCTTTATCTTTTAGTGTCAGCTCATGAGTTAAGTGAACTATGAAGTTGAGCAACTTCATTATGAGTGGGAACAAGTGGTAACTAAATCATTGGCCCATGATCTGAAGAGCTTCATCCATTAATTGGCAATGCCTTTAAGATCCAGGATGATTAGGTAGATGGCTCTGTAACCACTTGGGGGTGGAAAGGTACATTTGAATAGATAAAATCTGGTGACAAGTTTTGAAAATCATTCTCATAGTCATCTATGTTGCATGTAGTAGTACAAGTAATGTTCTCTGAGATATCACTTCACTTTCTGTCCCAGACATAATAAGGTGGTGCTGCCTGTAAGTGGGAAGGACTGACCTTCCATTCCACAGACTTACTGTGTGTAAGCTGTAAACTGGTTGAAATTAGATTTTCCTGAAGACCTTCAGAGAAAGGAGTCTCTGTAATGTCATAACTTAGGGCAGTGACTCTAGTAGGTGTTTCGTTTAGTTCACTGCTGCTTAGCATAACAGGTTACAGACTTATCTAACAAATATGAGCACTTATCTTGCTTTTTAAAAATTTCTTTTGGCTGATTTTATGTATCTTAGCTATAACATTTTAGTATTTATAAAGGAAAAATGTCCCCCTGGTATATACTGACTCTGCTGGCTAGTGTTATCTCAATTTGACACAAGCTAGAGTCATTTTGCAAATGACTCAATTGAGAAAATGCCCCTAAATAAATTGGCTTGTAGACAAACTTGTGGTCCATTTTCTTGATTATGACTGATATGGGAAGTTCTAACCCACCCTGGGGACAGGGGTGCTACTACCAGGCTAATGATCCTGGATGCTATAAGAAAGCAGTTTGAACAGGCCATGAGGAGCAAGCCAGTATACAACACTCTTCCAGGGCCTCTGCAACAATGCCTGCCTTGGGTTTCTGTCCTAATTCCCTGGATAATACAAGTTGTAAAATGAAAAAAAAAATCTTTTTCTTCTCAAGTTACTTTTGGTCTAGTGGGGTTTTTGTTTGTGCTTTGTTTTTTCTGGTTTTTCATGTGTTTGGTTGGTTTTTGTTTTTTGAGACAGGGTCTGTCTGTGTAACAGCCCTGGCTGTCCTGGAACTCACTTTGTAGACCAGGCTGGCCTTGAACTCACAAAGATCCACACACCTCTGCCTCCTGAGTGCTGTTGGGATTAAGTGTATGGGACCAGCACACCATATTTGGTCATGGTGTTTTGTCACAGTAATAGAAACCCTAAACCACTAACCTCACACATGATATGTTCATCTAAGTTCTTCCCTATTTGCTCTTCATATATGAGCCTCTTGAAGTCCAAGAAGATATACCATTCCCCCATTAGTGTTCATTTAGGGTGTGTTGAATAAATACATATGTTTCCTTGTGTCAATTTATAATATATATTTTCCATTAAAACAAATTTTTCCATGTGCATTATTTAATAATTTTATAGTAGAGATTGAATTTATATTCAATAACTTATTCTCATTGTGGTACCCATATTTCCCACTATTTTGCTGTTAAAGATTATTTTCATCCTGGTTAGTAATTAGTAACAACTAGTGAGAGAGAATGTTGGCCTTAACCTTTGCAGATCTCAGTTTGCATTGCAGCTTACACTCCACATTCTGTCTTCTATTATGTTGTTAATCTATGAGTTTTTCTTCCCTAGATTTGTTCACTTCCCTCCATACCTTGACATGATAAACACACAATACATAGACATACAATAAATTGATGCATGGATGTTGGATGAATAGATGAGTAGATGGAACATATTAAAGGAGGTTTCTCATCTGCAGACCAATGGTTCTTATTTTTATTTCTTAAAGTTCAGATCCTTGATTTTAGAGAAATCTTACTAAATTAAGGCTATTATGCATGTTTTTATTTTTTGTGTGGTGCTAGGGATTAATCCCAAGATCTCAAGTATGCTAAGTACATGCTCTACCACTGAACTACATCCCTATCACAAACTTTAGTATAAAGGGCTTACTCAACAAATGTGTATGCCTAATTGTATACTAGGGTTTGGATCTACCAATGAAATAACAAAGAACTTTGCACTGTGGAGCTTATATTTTAGTTGTAAAAGTAGACAGTAAGCAATAGATGTTAAAATGTTAGAAGGTAATGACTGCTGTGGAAAAGACTGGAGGACAGTAAGTAGTTGGGAAGTGAGATGCAGGGAGCATGAGTTACAAGTTTAAGCTGAGAGGTTAGGGTAGGACTAACTATGGAGTAAACATTTGAACAAAAACTTCAGTGCAAGAGAAAAAGCTATGCAGGTGTTTAGTATAAAAGTGTTCCAGGAGCCCATCCCACATGAGGGATACTCCCTGAGCCTAGACACAAGGGGGTTGGCCTAGGCCCTATCCCAAAGAATGACAGATTTTTGAAGACCCCCCCCCCATGGAAGGCCTCACCCTCCCTGGGGCGCAGAAAGGGTATGGGATAGGTAGGGCATTAGTTGGGGGGCAGGGAAGGAGGGGAGGGAGAGGGACCTGGGATTGACATGTAAAATAATTTTCTTTCTAATTAAAAAAGGAGAGGAATAAAAAGAAATCTAATCTAGTAATGCATTGGCTTTTCGATGGCAGGAATTATAGGCACAAGGGAGAGTTTCCATTACAATTTCTTTTCAATTTGATTTCTTTTGTTTACCATTAGCATGTGCTTATCTTGAAAAGCAGTAAGATGGTTAATGTAGCAAAAACTATAAGAATTTATACAAAAATAGTAGATAAAAAAATAAGGGTAGCAACTCTTAGTGATTTGTGTGTGAATTTCTGTCCTGTCTCTTACCTACTCAAATGATGTACTAACATTTCCATCCTAAAGAATAAAATTGAGATAAAACAAAAAAGTGTTCCAGATAGAGAAAACAGCCATTGAAAAAGCCATGAGAAAGGAGTGCGCCTGGCCTATTTGATCAACAAGAAAGAATCCACTAAGATGAGAATGGAATGTTTGGGAAAAGAAGATCAAAGAGATTATGTAGGTCCTTATTGGTTAGAGCAACGACTGGTAAATTTGTTCTACAAATAGCAAGATAGTAAATATGTTAGGCTTTATGGACCATGTAGTTTCATGTCATAGCTGTTCAACACCACTTTTGCAATGCAAAGGCAGCCATAGATAATATTTAAACAAATAAGAGCCTTTTTTTCTTAACATGAAGGCTTCTGATAATCCTTTAGCAAATGATAGTCTGAGTTCAAGCTAGATGTCTAAGAAGCCCTGGATTTTGCCCAGCTTCTACACATACTTGCTCTAATTGCCAGATTTCCCAAATTTTTCTATTGTGTATCTTACATTGAGGTTCCCATTCTATCTAGATCCTGAGGCTTGGCCTAGTCTACAAAAAGCCTTGTCTAGAAAATAATGGCTTTGAAGCTGGATGATAACATGCACCTATATGCCTTAACACTTGGAAAGCTGGAGCAATAGTACTGCCAGTTCAAGACCAGCCTAGGCCATATAGTTAGACCCTGTCTTAGAACATAGGATGGAAAGAAGGAAAAGATGGAGGAAGGGGGTGGGAAAGGGTAGAGATGGGAGAGAAGAAAAGGAGGAATATACTCTTTGGTTCCAGTCTCCCAGGATTTGAAACCTGGTCTTCTTGCTGGTTATGTAAGCTTAAAAAAGTTACCTTAACATCTGGGCTTAAGCTTTCACATATGTAAATGGAGATTATAATAGCAATTACTTAAGATGGCAGAGAGATTAGCTTAGTACCTAAGAAATAAATATACGTGTTAGTGGGACTGCTAATCATTGTATATGCCCATATTATTATTCCTTAGAGTAAGTCTAATTATGCTGATAGAAATTCCTAACATTCATTTGACCAGCCAAACTAGACTCATCCAGAATTTGTGGCTTGGATTGATGGTAGAGTGATATGGGCCTGTCTGAAGTCACATACAAGTATACAGAATTTAATATCAATTGGAAAATTAGTATGAGTTTACTGTTAGCCCAATATGAGTTCAATTGTTATGGATATTAACTTCTGAAAGATAAAATCTTCAACAAGTGGGGAACTGGTAAATAAGAAAGTACATTTTCAATGACTATTAAAGTGATGCAATGAAGAAAATGAAATACTAAGATTAAAAGGAAGGCTGAGGAGATAGCTCAGTGGTTAAGTACTTGCTTCACAAGCATGAGGACCTGGATTTGAATCCCCAGCACCTATTTAAAACTAAATGTTTGGCATCATACATCTGTAACCCCAGCACTAGAAGTGACGTGCAGAAGCAAGCAGACCCTGG